AACTGTGTGTTAGAACAATAGATGAAAGAGTGATTCGAGCACTAATCATGGTCAAACAGTTAATTCTGCACATACACGGAATAAATTCACCACAACTTCTGTTCAAAATATAAGAGTTTATTAACAAAAATCATTCAGCTCCAAGTCAAACGTATTTCAGTTTAGAACTCTTAACTAGGACTAGTAAAACTAAACTAAACTAAACTACTATGTGCAAAGAGGAAGGGAAGCACGGTTGAAAACCATATTATAGTTTACACTTTACATATTGACTTCTCTGACTTTGAAGGTTGACATTTTTCTAGCAGTATACAGCACACAACCAAAATGCATCACTTAACCAAACATCGGATGCTACAATATAGGAGCCCACCTCTTTTGAATTGGAGGTTTTATTTATCTAAATCATTGGTTTATGTAAGGGGATTTATTTAAGTGCTTTTTGAACCTCATCAATAGGTCTGCCAATAAAAGTACTAAAACCCTCATTTACTTAAACCAAGATGTTTCCCCATCTTCCCTCTTTTTCTATATGAAGCATTTATTAACAGCAGCTTGATTTATATGTGTTTTTGGAGACTAAATGGAGGTAAATGTTAAGCAGAAGCTGACTGATGTGGTCAATGTTAACGTTTAATCATTACTGTTCCATTTTGACTGACTAGCCTGAACAAGCACACTGTTGAAATATGAGTAAAGGAGACATATCAACTTTTAAAAATGAAGAATAATGCTGTGTTTTCTAATGCAGGTTCCTGGGCAGATCGCTCTCCGCTTCATGACGCAGCCTCTCAGGGTCGCCTCCTGGTCCTACGGAGGCTGCTGGCTGAGGTAGGATGTTCATAAATTTCTAATTTATAATGATTTTTTTAATATATATAAAACAAAATAAAATAGTGCATGTTAAAATAATTTACTTAGTTCAAAATGTCTTTAACCTGTTCGGCTCAAAACTGGTGGACCCAGTATTCATGGAGTGGAGAAATGGAGTGGGCGGTGTCAGTGTCTACAGCGGGAACCTCTGGTCTTAGTGTCCAGTTCTGGTCCAGAAGTAGAGGTAGAGCCCTGCTGGCGGGCCGCCAACCCAGTGAGGTGGTTGCCAAACAGAGAATCCCACATGCAGGACTGGAGTATCGGAGGACAGTGATGTGCAAAATAATATCCTGCAGACAATGAATAAATGATTAACTATTCAATTCAATTCAATTCAGTTTATTTATATAGCGCCAAATTCACAACACATGTCATCTCAAGGCACTTTACAGTTCAACCAGATCATA